AATGGCAATAACACAATGGAAAATATAAGATAAGTAGAGAGATATCGAAAATAAATGAAGCAGGAACTGAATATAAATCAAAAGTTCCTGAAATATCAGAAATATCAATGCAATAGTTTTCAACCATATTTATTGCATAAATATTTAATACAATGTTATTAATTATTTCCTTAGAAGAAAAAACATGCATACCACGTATCTCATATCAATGATGCGTTTTATTTTATTCAAGACAAATTAGATATATTCTCTGCATCGTCTCATCGAGCGTCTCACCGATATTCCACTCTCATTCTGAATAATGACGCCGCAATGTCATACACAAAATTCGAGACTGCACTCTTCATCGTCGTCATTTTCGCGCGTCATCATGTCAATCGACGATCATCGCCACCTTAAGTCTCTCTGATTCGGCATACAATGTGCAACTTGAGAAAAAAACGTTGACAGCTCCATTTGTGCGGCATTCAGAGATCTCGCCTCGATCATACCAACGCAACGACGCCCATTGTCGTCGCGTTCGTGATCGCGCGCGCGTCATCGCGCGTCCGAAACCCTTGATTACCCTTCGATGGAGTGCATTCATATCACGAACGATACGAGCTCGGCCCGGTCACGTTGGCGAAACGAATGCGAGGCCGTTAAGTCGGGTACGCACCTGCGAGGCCACCTGTTACCCTCAGGATTGTCGCACGAGCCCGCGAAATGCCCGCCAGGCACATTGCGAGAGACGTCGGGCGAAAATGATTAATAAGAATCGGCTCATCTGTTATACCACGTGTGCAATCTCTCCCTGGAATGCTGCCTCAATTGAATATTGAATATTGTGCAGTCGCAGAGCCTTACACAATCACCACGTACTCATTGCTTATTCTGAACCGATCAACTATTTTGATAGATTTAAAATACTTCGTCCTACTAATAATAAGGTCTTGAAAACAGAATTTGCTTACATGTCATATGAGGCAAATATTCAGTACGTACAGTATTATATATGTACAAAAACCAGAAGTATCTCGGAGAAATTAGATCTGTATCTATTACTGATTATAATATAAATCGGTAACTTTTAGTCATGCCTCAAGTTGTTTATAGTATTAAAACTTCAAAAATTGTGTGTGTAAGAAAACTTATGCTCTATTTTATAAAAATTTGGTAAAAATAAATGGGATTTGATTAAGAATCTTATTCACAAATATTCAAGATACATCGATGTTTTTAGGATGTATCAAGAGAGATTTCAGTAGAAAAGAAACGCGCGGTGGCGTTTCGATTCGGGTTGACTCGAGTGACGCAATCCCAAAGTACATAAATAAATCTACTGAGCATATTGAGCGGTTATATTTCATTGGTGAGCAAAAAATGCGAACGTCTCTCGGAAATCTGACGTCTCAATCCGTCTCTGGGATCTCGTCGATATTCCGAGCGGTCAATTAAGGCATGCCTCCCAGATGTCCCTGTCTGGTCCTTGCGCGCACGTATACGTCGACGACGACGATGATAAGTCGAACGAGAAAACGGTATTAACGCACCACGCAGTATCTCGTTTCTGCCTCGATGGATGCTCTCTCATGCTTATGCTTCGATAATCTCTCTTCCTGCTCTGCGACTGTCTCGTTATTTACTCCGTATTTACCCGCTGGATACGCTGGAAGATACAATCTGCCGAAGGATTCCGCCGAAGGTGAAGAAACCTGGCAAAAGCAATGGCAGAGAAAGCGAGATTCCCTAGCCACCCAAGAAGAAACGTTCGTAATAATTAATATGGCCGATCAAAGGGACGATACCGATGTCAGCGGAATTGAAGAGACGGGAATTCTCCGAGATTCGAAGATTAGGTCGGTACGCAAATGAGTGAAGTAGAACACTGTATTTCATGGCCAGGGGATATAATGAATAAAACGTCTCGTTGTTCGTCGATTATTCTTAAAGCTGAAGATATAAATAAAGAGCTAGGGGCGATAATTGACTAAGCTTGAGTAGAAACCTTGCCAATCTCTTGGCGTGTATTTGCAAATTTGATTACTATGTCAATCAAACAGTCTCTCTTTCTTTCATTCCCTTAAAAAATAACATAATAAATCAATAATAACTTTAAAAGCTGCAAGAAATACCTAATCTCATTAATAATCATGGCTTTTAAATAATTATTTTAATTTTATTTATTTTATTTTATGAAACCTCATCAGAAAGTTTTTAATATTAAAAATATAGAAATATCCTTAAAATGTAATTCTGACGGCTATTAAAAATCAACCATTAGAAATTACACATAGTAATCGCGAGATTTTAAATAATACAAGTCACGCCGAATAATTATCGAGGTCGGACAGAAATTGATGAACTTTATAATGAATGTCTATCTCCTGCGCGAAAGTCGGCGTGATCAAAGTCGATATATGTATAAGTCAGAAGATGAATTCTGAAATTGCTGTGTCAAGAGGGCACACTCGATTTTTCAGAGAAATTCGATTTTTTAATAAACGTCACCGACGTCACCCCTTTATTTTCTTGCGCAAATAATATCCTTGCGTCTTTACGCGGCGGATTATCGGAGCTGCACTCGCCTCTTAATAGAGGCTTTATTCCGAACCGCGATACACCTTAAAAGCCGAGAACGATAAAGACGGCCCGATTAATTTACTGCGGCTCCATAATCCCTTCAAGGTAAATCCTTTCTTACCAACCGTTTCTCTCTCTCTCTCTCTCTCTCTCTCTCTCTCTCTCTCTCTCTC